GGAACCCGACCACCTCGAAGGTAAGGGTCTCCATCCTGTAATTGGTCGGATCCCCGAAGGTGATGGGCAAATCGATATGCCCAAGTGGCATGGCCTGCTTTCTAGGCATGATGCCATGGAAAGGCACCCCGGTCGGTCGGATGCGCGATCGGTCGATGCCCATGATGTCGAGCATTTTGGCGTACATGATGTTGAGCCCGCCACCTCCATCCATCATCACCTTGGTGAGCCGCTTCATGCCGATGATCGGGTCGACCATGAGCGGATATCTTCTAGGCTGTGGGACGCTTTCTGGGTGGTCGGTCCGATCAAAGGTTATGGCAGACTCCGACCATCGGAGGGAAGTAGACGTGGCCGGCTTGGCCGTACAGACCTCGTGGCACGCAAGCTTCTAGCGGTGCTTGGAGTCGTAGGCCGCTGACCCTCCAAAGATTAGGAGGCAGCCATCCAGCGTTGGAAAGCCACCGTCCTTCCCCTCGGCGTCGTCCATGGTTGGCTTGGGCTCCTTCTTATGCTCTCCTTTGTTGGAGCCTCCGGACAAGAACCGCTTCATGAGGACGCAGTCCTTGTATAGGTGCTTGATGGGGAAAGCATGGTTTGGGCATGGCCCTTCGAGCAGCTTCTCAAAGTGGTCCAGGGTACCCTCGATGGGCTTCCGACCCCGCTTGCGGTCGGCGGTGGCCACGAGCGAGCTCTCACGCGACTACTTGTTCTTCTTCTTATTGGGACGGTTGGAGGCACCTTTGTCGGCGTCCTCATCCCACTTCGCCTTGCCTTTGAGGCGGTCAAAAATCGCTCCGATCGCCTCCTCGCCCAAGGCGTGGCTGGTGGCGATGTCGAGGAGTTCTTTGGTGGTTCATGGGCCCTTACATCCTAGATTGTGGACTAGGGACTCGCAGGTGGTCCTAGACAGGATGGCTCCTATGATGCTCGGCATCGGCGACGTTGGGCAGCTCGTTGCACTGATGGGAGAAGCGCCGGATGTACCCACAAAGAGTTTCCCCGGACTTCTATCTGTAGTTTTTGAGATCCCATTGGTTCCCAGGACGCGCGTATGTGCCCTAGAAGTTTCCCACGAAGATCTCTTTTTGGTCCGCCCAACTTTGGATTCAGCTGGACAGAAGGTGTTCCAACCACATTCGCGCCGAATTGGCCAGGAACAATGAAAGGTTGCGGATAATGAAATCGTCATTATCTGCTCCACTGGCTTGACAAGCAAGCCGATAATCCTCGAGCCACAATCCGAGGTTTGTTTCCCTAGAGTATTTCGGGATGTTGGTCGGCGGTCGGTACCGCGGTGGGAAGACGGCGTTGAGGATGTGTCGGCCAAAGGCCTGAGGTCTCGCAAGTCAAGGCTCGGGCTTCGGTCCACGCCGCTGTCGTAGCATCCGCCACGATGAGGGTGGTAGCTGTGGCTAGCCTCCTCCCTCGCATCTCCATGGGTACGCCTGCGGGCATCAAGGGTGTCATGTGTGTCATGGTGGAGGCCAAGACGTTCATGCATCGGGACCACGCGGTGCGCAGCCTACCGACCTTGCTGCGCCTGGTGGACCGACATGTCCTTGTCGGGTTGCTCTGATGGCGCACGCTGGCTGGCGTCGAGCTCGCGTCGTCGGGACAGCGAGCTCTCGGCCTGCTACGCCGCCACATGCTCGAGTAGCATGCGAATCTCGTGATGGGCCCGATGATCATCGGGCGTCGTGGGTCCCGGAAGCCCCCGCAGCAAGACCGTCGCAGTAGCGATGTTCTGGCTTGCCCGGGTGAAATGTGAGAGGGCTTCGTCGTCCTCGATGATCCTCTGGTTCATGTCACGGGCCACGGCGCGCGCACGCCCACCGTCTCCATGGTGCTCGATCTCTCGCTCGAGCTCTACGCGTTCCTGCTCGAGCTGGAGCCATACTTCCTCGATCTCTTGGTGCCAGGCCTTCAGCTGCTCTACCCACAGGCGAGGTGGGGGCCCTGCATCCGCCTCGACCTCGTCGTTGAGGTTATTCGTTGGGGTAGCCTCTCCCTCGTGGATGCTTTCAACATATCCCTCGAGGATACCTACCATGAAACATTCACGAGAAGAGTGATGGCTCCCCCTACTGGAATTAGAGTCAGAGGGCGACCCCGATTCTCTCACGAGGAGGTCGTGGAAAGATTCCGTGACATATTCGATCATCCCCACGAACTCATCGTTCATGGGGGATGGAGGCGTGCGTTGCGCCACAAGGTGGCCAACGGTCTTTGCGGCGTTGCGGAGACCAGACGGGAGCGCTGTCGGGGTGCTCCGGATGAGGTAATCTGGGGAGAGCGGCTCTCCTCCGACTACCTGCATTATGACATTGGCGAAGGAGAAGGTGAGGCGGCCCAGGTCCTCCCGGGACGGTCGGAGTCCTAGGAAGGCACCGAGCTGGCGCTCTAGCCTCCCGCAATCAAAGCCGAGGAGCTGGTCGCTCTTAGGGGCACGGGCCTCTAGTGTGTGCAGCCGTAGCTCCTCGAGCGCCTCAGCGATCACGTCGAGGCCGGCGGAGTGGAGAGGTTGGACGGTGACGGGATCCTGCGTTAACTTTCCCTCCGTCATGATGATGAAGTCTAGGTTCCTGAAGAGCACGTGCGCGCCCGGGACCTAGCTGACGCCGTGACTAGCCATCCGAGGCCTGATGTGGACGTCGAGACGCGCAAAAAGCCCCTACCTGGCACGCCAACTGTCAGTGTTTTCGGACAACCGATGAGTAAATTTGTATTTGCGCGTCTGGCTCGGATGATGTGCTCGGAGGACACAAGGGTTTATACTGGTTCGGGCGGAACGTCCCTATGTCGAGTTTGCTGCTGCTCGTGTTATCGGCACTTGGTTTACAGTAGGGGTTACAAATGGGCGAGAGAGGGAAAGGATCTCAAGTCTCTGGTGAAAGGAGTGAACGGGTACTGAGAGCTTGATCGCTGCTCAGTCGTGTGCTCGTGTCGTGCTCTTGTGCGGATCTGGCCCCCTTCATGGGGCGCCCTGCTTCCCCTTTTATAGGTGAAGGGAAAGCGCGGGTTATAGCGGAAAAAAAGGAGAAGAACGACAGAGAGAAGAAGGTTTCCAAGATCGTCGGGTCCTTCTTCTCCTTCATACGGGTCCCGCCGATCCTGTAGATGTCAACAGGGATGGCTCCACGTTGCGGCCCTGTCCGTCACTGTCGCCATACGTAGGCGTCATCTGCTGGTCATGGCATTCCATCCCGTCTCGGCGGACGTCGTGGTGAACTGACGCGCCTGTCAGCGTTCATACGAGGGTTAGGCAGAACAACACCGGTACGCCCGACGCTATTCTTGATGTGAATCCTCAGGTATGGCCCATCATGGCCTCGGGTTACATCGAGTCGTGCCCGTCTATTCCCTGGTGTCAGAGTTTTGACACAGGCCCATACGCCTGGACCTGGAGTGGTTGGCGGCGATATGGGTCCCCATCAGATGAGACGGAGCCCGTGACCCTTCGGTGTCGGGCGAGACGGAGCCCGCGACCTTGGGTGAGACCCCCGCCTCGGGCCCGCGACCTTGGGTGAGACCCCATGCGGCCTCGGGTTCGGGCGAGACGGAAATCTGTGGCCTCGAGGTCGGGGTGAGGGTGGTGGGCGCCAGCGCCCTTCAGCGAGACCCAAGCCAGCGGCCTCGGGGTCGGGCGAGATGGAGCCCGCGACCCTTGGGGGTCGGACGAGACGGAGCACGCACCCAAGGGTCGGGCGAGACGGAGCCCGTGGCCTCGGGTTCCGGCGAGACAGAGTACACACCCAAGGGTCGGGCGAGATGGAGCCTGCGGCCTCAGGGTCAGGCGAGATGGAGCCCACGCCTCGAGGTCGAGTGAGACGGAAACTGCGCCCTTGGGGTCGGGCGAGACGGAGCCCGGATCCAAGGGGTCGGGCGAGACATGTTAATACGTCTTGTTCTGTCCGAAAAAGTCAGCGTGGGCGCTAACTCCCTTGCTTTGGGTATCCCTACTCTCGATACCCGACAAGAAGCAACCCAGTCTCGTCCCATTCTCATTGAGCTGCCTGCATACCTCCCGTACCAAATTCAGATCACACTTCATTTGCATTGGAAGCTTGTTTTCTTTTTCCAACACAGGCACAGGTTTGTTAACATGGGGCATCTTGTACTTGTTCCCTCCTACTTTCATTGCCTCTATCATGGCGAGCTGCAATGATGTGAATATCCAATTTGACAGACAGTGTTGGTATAATCTTCAAACTCCTCCTGAACCACCGCGACTAGTTCAGCTAATGTCCTAGAATTAACCCTTCTTATATTGAACGGACTGAATTGATGCAAAGAAATCCAAATCAAGTAGGTTAAAGTCTGGTGAATTCGGTGGTTGACAGATCAGCTTAATATCAAATCCTTTCTGCTTTGCTGCTTCACAAAATAAAGGGCCACTGTGCTTTATGAACCAGGGCCGTAGCAGGCTTAAATGAAACTTAGACCTGGCCCAATAGCAACTTGTCTTATTGATATTTCAGAATTTCTAAACAAAAATCGGCTATTGTTATTTATTTACATGACTTATGTCGACTATCCATTTTTTTTTCCAAATCAAAACAGAGTTCAAACCTTGGGAACTTGAAACTTAAAGCTGGCTCAGCTTCCACACGAGTGCCGAACAAGCAAGTGCTTAGTCACCCAGCTGCAGCACCGAAATACCAGTGCTCGAAGTACTTATAGTTCATAAAAAATGCACAAGCATAAAGGTGGCCCAGAACACGAAAAATGTGATGAATGCTATACAATGGATAAAGTCGTCATACTCCAGTTACATAAGTAGACATACCCAGGTTTCAACAGTTACAGATAGACCTCTTAAGAAAACCAGTGGCAAATCCTTACAGCAGAAATCATTGATCATCACAGCACAAAGAGAACATAGTGGGTTAACAAAGTTTAAAGTCGTCATACTCCAATTACATAATTAGGCATACCGAGGTTCCAACAGTTACAAATAGATCTCTAAGAAAGGCAGTGGCAAATTCTTACAGCAGACATCACTGACCATCACAACACAAAGAGAGCATACTGGGGACAATCCATATAGGTTGCACCATGCTACCAACACATGTGAAAATAAAGACATCAGACCTGGTGGCATCATCTTCAGGCAGTGGCTTGCCCAACTCAAATGCAACCAAATGGCCAAATTCATAATCATAGCAGTATACACAGTTGCTCCTCCCTCCCCACCTCTCTGGATTCAGGCATGAAAGTGGCTGAACTCTCCGGTCACTGCTGATGAATATCGCCCAGTTCTCCAACCTCTCCACCTTCACCCACTTTGCAGGGTCAGTCGAAGTGTCAATACGGTAAGCTTCAAATACATCCCGTGTTATTCCTGGGAATTCACTCTGGCAGCCAACCATGAGAAGCATGTCGTCACACACCACTAGCCAAGGGTCGCAAAGATGCCATTTGGTCATGCTATTTCTTCCACCCCAGGAAACTGGTATCTCTTGTAAATGGATCTGAGGAGACAAGTGAACCATGAACAAACTACGATCAGAACCCATGCCAAAGACCTGGCCTTTGAAGACTACAAACTAGGTGAGTGATCCATTGCGAGGAGAGCATTTTGACCAAGAGTCACTACCAACACGCCAAAAGAAGTTGAAGGACAAAGTGCAGACAATGAGATGTGAGTTGGGAGATGCTAGAGGACCTGTGAGGGTAGCACCACAGCGGATCTCACTATATTCATCAGCTGGCAGTAGTGGAGGTGAAACCTCAATACCAGTGAACACATCAAAAAGAAAACATATTTTGTTGCTGGAGAAGATCATATGGCCAAAGGAAGCACCCCTAAAAGCAAACTTATGCAAAGCACTTGGTGGGCGATTATTTCCATAATCGACAGAAAGCAGAGGAATCTGAGAGCAAAGTATTGTATCTTGGCTAGCTAGGTCAATGACGTAACATGGGCGTTTGGGTACAGAGGTGTTTCTGGCATTTGGAAAATGGCGAGAGGAGCAGAAAGAGACATTAGGGTCGAGGAGAAGAGATGGGTAAGATGAGAAGGCAGAGCACCAGGGGTGGCAGGTGGCTGCAAAGGCAAGAAGGTCAGGGAAGGACCCCAACAATTCAACAATGGAGTGCAGCAGGCCATCTGGGAGGCCTGCCCAATCTCGAAGCTTGGACATAACTTGGAGGCGAAAAGCAGCTTCTCTGTGTCAAATTGTAAACCAAAGCAAACACATTAACAGATTGGACTTGATAGAGTGAAGAGAATAAAGTTGGTACTTTATAGGAAAAATGGCTATCGCATATGATTTCTTAAAATGTCAACCCTAAGCACAAGAATGCAGCTGAACAGAACATGCAAAAACAATACCGGTCGCAAAACAAGCAAGTGTGTTATGGTTCATGGTTGGATTAATGGATAATGCTGGTTTTGCTACGATACTGCAGTAATGCACACGGATGTCCAGCCTTCTTGCAGTACAAACAACAAAGTCTTCTGAGTAATATCCCTCCGATCAGTAATATCCCTCTGGTAACACGATTTTTCATCATTGTTATCCTATTAGTCTACTATTACAGAAAAATAACTAAAACATTGTTTTCCAACAATTTAACGGATAAAAATCTAAGCTATAACACTATTGGGATACAGTAGCCATTTCAGATCCGGTCAGCCAAAGAAAATGATATGCTTGGCACCAACGTTTTAATGGATACCTCTAAAAAAACGATTTTATCCATCTTTTCAATCCACATCAAATGTATTTTGATCAACAAAATATCAACTACAACCATCACCATAAAATGTCGTCAAGAACCATAAGGGATGAAATAAACACTGAATACCAAGATTTAAATAGTCCATTCAAGATTTCAATCAAAACTTGGAAAGAATCAACCAATGCTTAAAACCCCAATGCAAGCGTTCTTGCATTAGGGTTAGGGATTTAGGGGATCCGCACAAAAAATTGAGGCAGAGGCGGAGGGGGAGAGGGCATGTGAGCCAATGGGCGTATATGACTGACCGGCGGACCGTGAGCGGAGGCAGGTGGTGCGGCGTCGGCGAGGGCCTCCTCCGGCAGTCTGGTGCTGCCTCCGGCAGTTCACAGGTGAGGTACCTCTGAACTCTACTTTTCTGAACTCTACTGGAACTTGAAGCTTCCGTGTTGGGCTACCTATTCTCTTAATTAATGGAGGATTTGCCTGGGCTGGGCTGGGCTAGACACCTCTGGCCTCTGGGCTGGCCACTGGGCCATGTGATTTGATTCAGTCCCTCATATGGATGGCAACGGGATGTACCCGTCGGGTATCGCCGAAACATTCTCTTCCCCACTACAGAGAATTCATCCTGTCCCCGTTAACTGTCTCGGGTATAGATTATTGCTCATCCCCGTACCCGTCGGGCATCGGTCGAGTAACAGATACCCGACGGGTATTGCATACCCGATAAACAAGGACACTTTCTTCTTCACCCGGGTATAAGTGTCGGAGTCTCGGAGATATCGAGGAGAAGGAGCGAGGTTGCGAGGAGGACGAGCAAAGGTGGCAGAGAGACCGAACTGAGGAAGCGAGGGGCACAAGCGCTCATGAGGCAGGCGTGCTTGTGCTGCTGGCGGAGATGGTGAGAAAAAATTAAATTAGGGTTCCTAGAATACACAAACTATATATATGATTGTTTAGATTTGGGTCAAAATACCTATGTTAAGCTTCTTTGGACATAATATTCGCATGACAGCTTAAATAGTCGAGTTCCCCAACGGGTAACGGGGACGGGTAAACAGGGAACGTTCCCGTACCCGCTATACCCGTCGGGGATGAATTTTTGCCCATTTAGATGCCCGCAGGTAAAAATATGATCCCATTCCCGTCCCCTAATGGATCAAATATCCGTCGGGTATCGGGTATCGGAGGGCCGTTGCCATCTTTAGTCCCACGTCAACCAAAAATAAAAAATTATAGTACGAAGTGACTTAAAAATTTAATAGCAATTTCTTTTCAAATCTGTTTTCTGACGTTTGTTTCACTTGTTTATGTAATCCATAAGCAGAAAAATTATAATAGACCAAGTGAAGCCAGTATCTATACACATTTGGGTTTCCGCTTCATATTTCTCCTGCATAGCACAGTAAACAAAAGCACAAAGGCAATCTCCTAAGCGAGCACCTCCACATTTTGCATTAAGTAGGGACAGCGGAAGCCCAGAAATTACAAAGCGTTTTCTACAACTTATTCAATTAACATTAATAATGGGTTCAGACTTCCAGGCTTTCCAGCACACAGCCAACAAGTTCAGAACTAGTGCAAATAAATAAAGGTAGCACTGAAACACAGCTCAAAACTAGTGAAACTGACAAGGTACAGTGGAAGCAGAACTCAGTGTCAGTGGAAACAAGATACAAACGAAATTTCTGTGCTTGGTTTGGAATAAGAAATCAGAGCACCGAAGAAAAGAGAGAAATGTGCCAAATAAACCAAGTAAAAAAAGAAGAGACAATTTCCTATGTGCCATTAAAAAATATCGTAATGCTCTGTGTGTCTCTGGAAAAGTTCAGCGGTCTTCAGCGCCACCACTCCAACTTTTTCGTGTCCTCCATGCCACTTCCGTCAGTTTGGGCTCTAACGCCGTTAAAACTGTAAGTGTGAAAAGACGAAAATACCTTTAAGTCTAAATATATTATTAATTTTTTTAGCATCTTAACGACTTCAAATGAAAAAACTCAAAACTAGAAAGTTGTAGATCTCGTTGAGATCTATAATTTTCATATAAAAATTATTTTCATTTAATTCCGCAAAAAATATGATTTTTCTAAGATATATTAATCATATCAAATCATTTTTTTGCGGAATTAAATGAAAATAATTTTTATATGAAAATTATAGATCTCGATGAGATCTACAACTTTCTAGTTTTGTGCATGGAGGACACAAAAAAGTTAGAGTAGTGGCGCTGAAGACCGCTGAACTTTTTTAGAGACACACATGGTGCGATATTTTTTAATGGCACACAGGGAATTAAAAAAAAACAAACTAGGAACTTAGGTGTCAAAGCAAGGTTCGCTACTGCCTACTAGATATTAGACTATAGGCACCTGACATCTCAAAATTGGAACGTTGATGTAACGCAGAGAAGATTTTTTTTTGTTCTCCAGATTAAAGGATCCCAGTTCTACTTCCTACTTGCCTAGTCTGCACAAATGACACATGAATGAAAGAAGAGATGCAACGATTGTTCAAATGGCCTAAATGTACAGTAACATGCCAAAAAATATATACAATAAGCAATTTTGTTCGTCTGAATTTAAGGAGAGGAGAGCAGAGCCCTAACATCAGGATATAAAGTGGACTACAGTCTACAGCAATTATAATCCCAAGTCAAGCCTTATGCAGACTGCTAAAACACCTAGCCGTTACAAGGAAAATTACCAGATTTACTAAAAATAATGACAAGAATTAGACCCTGGATGAAAATTAGAAACACCAGTGGTACTGATACTACTCATTCTCAGATTAACCCTGAAATACACAGAAATTAAAACTTCTGTTCGAGACCAGCACCCAACATCAAAGCTGTGTGCTATATAGTTGTATTGCAGCCACATTAGCCGTGGGGCATAATTCCATTCAAAACCTACTCGGTCAGGTACGGTCTACCGATTCTAGGGTTGGTTGAGATCCACGAAATGAACTGAGAAAAAAAAACTAAGGTCGGGCTTAGATGCCAGCGAGAGAGAGTGAGCGCGTGTTTAGTTATACCCAAAATTCCAAAAAGTGCTACAGTATCTATCACATCGAATATTTGCGGCCCGTGCATGGAGTATTAAATGTAGACGAAAAAAACTAATTGCACAGTTTGGTGGGAAATTACGAGACGAACGTTTTGAGCCTAATTAGTCCATATTTGAACACTAATTGCCAAATAAAAACGAAGGTGCTACAATAACCCAATTTCCAACCTGTAACTAAACAAGGGCTGAGGGTTCGGGCCTTGCCTACGAAGCAGGCGCGATCGGCGACGACGGTATCACTCTTGCAGAAAACGCCGCTTCTCCTGTTTCTACGCAAAGCTCCCTCTACTCTGTTGTGGGCCAAATTTGGGCTTTATGAACCAGGGCCGTAGCAGGCCGAAATGAATCAGAGTATCAAAAAAAAAAAACGGCTATTATTATTTTGTGATTTCTGTCGATTTTGTAGCGATCCGAGCTGTTGAGAGTGTTATTGTTGAGATTAATTAATTAGGATTAATTATTTAGTGATCAAATTGTTAATTTTGTCATATGACGGTTCCATATAGACATAATAGATAGCCACCTTTTCACACAGACACTGACAAGGCAAAGGCCTTTTGTATATATACACTACTGTTCATCAATAGAAACATACATCGGTCATTTGCACCGACCACTTTTCATCTGACATGTTATCCGCACGCTTCACCGCTGACGCTGAGAGGCAAAAAAGGAAGGAGAGGGAGTTTGCCGGGACTTCGCCGGCGTCGCTGCATCTCAACCCAAGGTAGAAGATGGCACACCCCATACCTTCCATGAATGCCATGGTCGACTCCATCACCGATGCAGTGGAGTCCACCATCCATCGTGGCCACCACGCCGGAGGCCTTCGCCGCTTCATGCTCCAGGGTGCCGTCCTCTGTGGCCTCCGAGACATCTCCGACCACCACATCCCTCCTCGCCGCTTCTCCGGAGTCCGCGCTAGAGGGAGCAGTGGCCGCCGTTCGTCGCCGCGCCCGTCGTCCCCACTGCAGTTCGCCCCCGGCGTCTGCCCGACGCATGGCCCAGCCATGTTCGTCAGGCGCATAGGGGCTCCGCCGAAGACATCGTCGATGTCGTCGACGTTGCCGAGGCCGCCGCCGCCGCTATTGCCGCCACCACCACCGCTGCCATCGACTGCGCTCGCCTTGCCATGGAACTGAGGCGGCAGCTCCATGGCCACGCGCTGTGGCGCCCATTCACTCCCCAACCACAGCGCCGACGTGGAAGCTTGGCCACCCGGCTTTGCCTACGACCTCAACATCGTGCTTCCACCACCACCTCCACCGTCCGGTCACTCTCCTACGCCGACGTGGCGGCCAACCGCCGCCAAGTCCAGTGTCAAACGCCCTCCCACACGGGAACCCCCTCGGATCTAGGT